TATTAAATACATTTATTAGAATAACCAGTGTTCTCCCATAATTTTAGAACACCTTTTAATAAATACAAATGAGGAGAAGAGTATACCCAAATTTCAGTAGTAAGTGCTCTAATATCTGAAACGTGATCACTATGATGCTTTTTCATCTAACCCTGTTCTAACCTGAATTAAAAATCAGTGACAAAATAACTGCCCAACTCTGACCACTCATTATTTTCCACTATGTAACCCAAATCAGTGCTGTTTGAAGAGTCTCTGTATAAGAAGGGAAGATCAGTACATACAGAAAATGCAAATAAACACCTAAAGCATTTTGTCCTCAGTGGATGCAGTTCCCCAGTGACAAGGAAAGTAGCTGCATGGTCCACAATGCATTTTAGGTATATCAAACCAAGAAGTAATGGAAGTTCCAGCACTCTCCTAGGCACAATATTTCAGCTTTTCACCAGTGCTACTCCTGCTTATATCAAAAGAAGTCCCGTGACACCTTCTGCTGACCTCAGTGTCCAATTTTCCAGCGTACTTCTGGACTCTCTCAAGCAAGGCATTTAACACTATTTTTCCATTCCCTGTGCTTTCTCCCAGATCCTCCTGTATTGTTTTGTTTTTTCTTTGTCTGTATTCTTTACACTTTCTAAACTAAGTTGGTAATTCAACTACAGTTTCATACAGAAAAAAATTATTAATTGCAGCCTATTTGAAACTAAGATTTTGATCCTGCAGTCACTAAAGTCAAAGGCAACAAGGGCATTCTGTTCAGTGGGAATAGAACAAACCCAGTTCCTGATCAGTGTGTTTTTAATCAGGGAGCCTTCACATTTAAAAAGGAAATAATTTGCATCATATTAGTATTCATTGTCCACCTACACAGGATGGGAAGTTTACTGAACAAAAAGGTTAAGTGTGTCGGTGCCAAAAAGGTTTGCCTGTTGCTCAGTCAGTCACAGCATTGAAAGCATCTCAGCTGTACCTGTTCCAGGAAATTACATCAAAAACCCCTGCACGCAAGGCTCAGGGGAGTCAGACCTGTTTCTTATGGCACATGAAAGGTCAACTGAGATCACTGTGTGCATTATTTCATCTCAAGAAGAGTCCAAGTGCACCAAAACCAAAAATAAAGCTCAATGAAAGAAGGTAGCAGAAGGGAAGTTGCTGCAGGCTGCCTGATATGGCTTACTCGAGTCTGTCACTTCAGGTCAGCAGGGAAATGTCCTCCAGCAAATTGTTTACCGGGGGACTGGAAAAGCAATACAAGAGTTCTTTGTACAGGAAGGCACGTGGTGCTCACGGTGCAGGACAGCTCTGTCCAGCCTGGGGGTCACAGAACCAGCTGGATTTGGGGTCAGTGTAACGAGAGGCAGAAAAGGCTTAGTGTCAGAAGCAAGCCGTTTGCTGCAGAGCCATAACCTGCTTCAGTGGCAAACCATAGGCACTTACAGTTTGAAAAAGACCACAAAGCACTTAGTTAGGTGTTTTCTTACAAGACGAAGTTTGTACAAGGTTTCTTCCCACAACATTTTATCTAATATTAGATAATACGTCTGATTAAAGACTGAGATTAGATTTCAAAGTGGAAAGCACCTTATGGTGCATCATTTCACTGACGTTTTGAGGCAGTTCAGGACAACAGCACGTCACACACCAAAAAGCCCGTGTCTTCCAGGAAGATGTCTCACCCCTGATCATCTTTCTCCTCTGGCAGCTATTCTGGCAGCTCCTCCCTTGCCAGCTATTGCAGGAGGGATAGAATGGGATCTTAAGTCCTGTGTGAACTTGTGGTTGTCAAATGTCTGAGCAGAAATTCTACTCAAAGCTATTTTTTAAAGTATTAGTAACAAACCAAGCTTATGCAAACATGAGCCACGGTAGCTGCTGATGTGAAGACGTGGAAGAGCGGATCAAATCCAAGCTTGCAACAGCAAACAGGTATCAGTAGGATAGAAACATCTGCCTGAATTTTGATGCCCTTGAACAACTCATTAAATCACATCATCCTACATATACACCTTGACAGGAGTCAGACAGCAGTAATGTCCTTGCAGATCGGGCAGTGGGCTCTGGGAGGAAGGAAGTAGCTGGTACATGCAGTAAATCAAATGCAAAGAAAAAAAGAAAAGGAAAATAAATTTGAAAAAAATAAAAATCACAGTTCTGCTGCAGAATCATTCCATTCAGCCTGGCTACAAACACAGGCAGCTACAAACCGATCATTCATCTCCAACATAAACATAGATCTGGTTAGACTAGCAGTAACATAGGTTGAGATTTTTAGTAGATGACATAAATAAATGTATTTTTATATTTCCTGACCACATTAAGCTTGAAATCAGAGTTCTAAACTGCGAGCCACATACTATAAGACTTCTAATAGCCAATAAATTCCGAGAGTCACAGTGAAGCAATGTTTTCTCCTTAATGGTACATTTTGCTGTGGTGTATATAAATACAAGGGGGCTTGTTTTTTTATGGATTTGAGATTTTATGTTGCTGAACATGATCATTCAAACAAGGTTAAAGTTCTTTTAGAAGGACAGCAAGATGGAAACCACTTCAGAAGGCACGATGTCAGGTTCCAAATATTATTTCTACATGGAAAGACATTAGTAAGAGATGGGGGAGGGCTGGGGAAAATTACTTTCTCCCCAGAAGGCACAATTCAGGAGAGCAAAAGCATAGCTAAAACATCCCAGCCCAACATCACCTCTGTGTTCCTCAGTTCCTATCCCACTCTTATACATTAAGAACGCATTGAGCTCTTACCCTGCCCAGTGCATCCACTCCCTATTTGTAAAGCAGGGATTATAGTGCCAGAATTCCTTTAGCTGGTGCCAAAGGAATGAATGAGTTCAGAGAGTTACCAGTAATACTCAGTGCTAAAATACTTAAACTCTAAAGGTCATTTTTCATCTCAAAGTCTTACAACACTATAAAGTGGAGATCACGATAACTGAACACAGCAGATGTAATAACTTTTGCAGATTCACCAAATGTGTCAGTAGCAAAATCAGAAGTGATTCTCAGGTTGGCCACAACCCTTAAAAGTTACCTTAAGCTTCCAGACCCATCAAAGATGACAGCTGATAACCAGTAGTCAGATTTTAACAAGCAGCAGCAGCTTGCTGGATTACAAGGCTGCATTTCAGCATGGCATTGCTAAGCAAACCCTGGCAGAAGAACAACACAACATTCCACGGACTTTGAAGGCAAGTCCCTCAATATGGGACAAAGTTGTTTAGCTTTTGGATCTACCACTTTCAGCAGATCTCTCACAAAGAGACATGTTCCCAGTGGGGGAGCAATAAAGACAGTCAGCGTGTACTGGCTCTACTGCCTGTTATTGACTGAAAGTTGTTGGAATAGCCAAGAAGAAAATATCTGAGCGCTGATGTCACTTTGATACAATTGCTTTGGAGGCTGTTCAGTTTTCCTTGGGGCGCCTATTCATTTTTAGAGACTCACTGATCTTTGTCTGATGGCTGAAGTTTTATGACCAGAAAGAAATGAAGATGGCAGCTAAGAGCTTCAGTTCACAATGAGAGAAATAATCCTTTTAAGGGAGAATTCCTCATTCCTAGCTCAGTTTAAGAACTAGCAGTTGGGACTGAGTAGATGGAATGTACCAGCAGAATAAATTTTAAGACACCAAGTACTTTCAAATGCAAATTAGCTGTAGAATGACAAATAAAACAAAAATAATAATAACTTCCCCACCCACCTACGTTAAGGTTGAAAAGTCAAGTATTCGCAGACTGGAAACTCCAGAATTAAGGTTGCCTTGTGCAGTCCTAATTCACTTCTCCTATGTGATACAATTAAAATATACTTCCCCCATGGCCTCACCCCTTCAGTGGGCAGGATGAACAGAGCTATTCAGGATTTCTTTTTTTTACCTTTTGGAATCAACGTGTGGCCTTGGTTTTATTTATAGCATGCAGTTTAAACTCTGCACTGAATACAGGATTATTCATTTCCTGGTGGGTTTTAATATAACACTTATCAAGAAGTCCTCGCTGCAAAAACAAACATGTCTCATGACAAAACCCCTGCCAACGAGGCAGGATGGTAGCATGGGTCCCTTCAGCAGAAGAGCTTAATCAGAATCAGAGGACCCACAAGACTGTTTTGATTATTATGAGATCATCTGAATGCAATATAGTGAATAATATATTCTTGTTTTTAGCAAACCCCATTTTCTGAGAGAGAGCTCCAAAACTTCCACTACTACGAGTTTTGTGTTTGAGAAACCATGTGTTTCCTTTCAGGGTCATCCACAGCATTTCCAAACCTCATTTTCTGTGGTTTACAGCATTTCCTTCTAAGATCTCTCTTCAAAAGACAAGCAAGGCCTAGTCTGGGGCTAAGCAATGAAAACTGCAGGGCTAGAATATAATCGTTCATAGCTTACATGAATTTGGAAATTCACTTTTAAATTTGTAATTTAAAGAAAAATAAAATCAATCCCTGCTTTTATTTACATACTCTCTCATTTAGAAGTGTAATTGCAGGTTGATTATGTATATACACCTAAAACCAAAAAGCAATCATGTCTGCAACCAAAAATACTGGAACAACTCTGTAGGACTGGTTGAACAAAACAATACTCATGCTTTGAGTTGTTTTGTTTTGTTTTTCCAGCAGTTAATCATGCATCAGCAAAGTTTTAAATAAATAATTCGGAGGCTATATAATCACTCTTCTTGCAGACAAGACAACTCACACCCAACCTTTTGATTTGGATCTAAGCTACAAATCAAGTAACTCTTATTTAGGAGTTACCTCTACAGAAAAAAAAAAAAAAAAGTTACTTCAAGTTCCATCAGTATGAAAACCTTTCAAGAGATACGAATTTCAAGTTCATGCAAGCCTGCAATCCCACCTGCACAACCACTCTTTCAGATAAATCAATTCATGATTCCCTGTGTCATACTGCTTGTTTTACATCACACTCTTAAAGAAAAGAGCAGATGTTAGAAATATTTAAGAAAAAAAAAATGACTTACTGATCTGACAGCCATCGGGATCTCTTTTGGTTCACACTGCTTATCTCAAGCTGTTCCTCACTGAAACTCTCTTCAGAGAAGAGGATCTGACAGCTGAAAGAAAAATGCACAAAGCTTACAGTTTATACCCACAAGACTGGAAATTTGGCATGTCTGGAGGCTTTAGCATTATTATTATTACAAATACATTCTGGAATTTGTATTTTTGGCATAAGCAGAAGATTCGTTGTCGAGAATGTAGCTTTTTTTTGTTTTTAATGTGTTAAGTTAGCTTGGATTACTTCAAATTCAAGTATTTCAGCAATGACCACAAATAACATCCTTTTTTGATTTGATGTAGCAAAAAGAAAGCTAACAAACATGACTTTAGATATCACTTAGCTACAACTTTCAAAACATCACCTTTATTATCTTAGAACGCAGCAACCTGAAAAACTGGCCCTCCTACAACCCGAGCTTGGTCAAGACAGACTTGTTAGTTATAGTTGCCTTTAATGAAAAACTATTTTAAAGTCAAAAAAGTTTAAAAAAAAAATAATAATGATCTCAAACCAGAGCTCTTAGTATCCTGTTGCTTTTTTAAGAAGAACGTGCTTAATTCAATATGTAAGTTGTCTGCCTGTGACATTCCCCCAGTTCAATGCAAGGCCTCTGATTTATAAAGGCAGAAGTTGATGCTACACTCTCAACTGCCAGTGCATCCTCCCACCCACAACTACTCTTCAGCAGTGTCAGTTCTACACCTCCAATGTTGTAACAGCATCAGGGAGATCCCACTGCAGACACAGGCCTTGCTAAGTGTTGTATAAACACAGCCAGGAGATTTAAATTACCACATGCTCAAAGAGATTGATGGAACTATTTTGCTGTTCTAGCAGGAGGATCACAAGGCATTTCACAGTTAGGTCTCTCTGGAAGGAAGGCTGTATTTTCAGCTTTATTTTATGGATGGCTGAGTATAGCAGCACAACACAACAAGTTATGCTTTCTCTCTGAAAGTGGACACACACTAAACTGAAAGCTTGCTGAGGTTCCATTTTTGCAGACATTATTACTAAAACTAACACAGTACCACAGAGAACCATAGGTCTGATGCCAGCATCTAGCTCTAGCTTAGAAGCACCCATTTCCTCAGACTGACCGAGAGCCTGGAAATCATTTCTACCCCCAGCCACCTGATGCTCTCAGCTGAGCCCAATGATTTGCTCACCCAGAGGAATGCACAGACACTTGCTAATACACTGGGAAACAGAAGTCAAGGTCATTTCATCCGTATGCCTCAAGTGATGTAACATTTGCCATGGCTACTATATAATGCACAAATTGCAGAGTATAATCATCTTACTGCTAACATCTGGTCAAGTTTAAAACCGGAATCTTGTAAAGTTTGTAATTACATCTCCTTATGTTTTTCTGAGCTTTATTAATCTCAGCTTTTTTTTTTTTTTTAACTTCAATGAGTACATTTTCTGATGCATAGCAATGTTTCAATTAATCATTTCCATCATTACCCCTTTCATTGCCTAAAAGAAAGAAAAAATAAAATTAAAAGCTCACTGAGTTTTAACCCTTTACATGACAAAGTGACGTAGGCTCTCAGAACCTCATCCAAGTGATGCTGTAATTCACTGGAGACTTTCCACTGACTTAGCTTTGGATCCACCCCCAAAACAAGGGAGGCTGTGGTACAGCAAAGCCCTGGGGCAGATATTCCACTTTAAGCATGTATTAAAGCTCCATCGCCATCTCTCATTAATCCATCAAGGAGAGAGGAATTCAGTACGTTCTCCCAGCCTTGCAGAGCTCTGCAGGGTGTGCAGGGATCGGTGCCTGGCACTGCCCGGCCCGCCCAGCCCCATCCGTGCTGTGCAATGCTGCCTCTCGGTGGAGCTCAGCTAGAGGCTCAGCAAGGCTGCCAGCTGTTCTCTCCAAACCTGAACAGAAGCAGAACTAGGCTGTCTTTAGCTATTAAGGTGCCATTTCCTTGCAATTTCTGTCTGCCTGCTGCATGTGAAAAGGACTAATGTCATAATCTCCAGAGTATCACTGAAAGTAAAAGCTGCTGGTAGCTGGGCAGCCAGAAGCACAGAACCTGAATGTTTCATAAGCCAAGCTGAATATCCATAGAGAACAATTGCATGGTTTTGCTAATGAGCTAACTCAGCTAATTGGGTGATGAACTAATTCAACTTCTTACAAAACAATTCATGAACTCTTATTAATGATCAGTTATTCAGTGTTTGGAGACCTTCATTAATCACCACTATTCCTACTTGTTTTCTCTATTTATGTTATATGTGCAGTGTAAAGATAAACTTAAAAAAAAAAATTAGCTGTGACTTTTTGTTCATAATCACAGCGATGGGAAAAACTCCAAAAGCATTCTCAGTGTTTTGTAGTTGTCAAGACACTTTATTTTCTCTCATTCCCAAGCTTCAGAAGCTTCCTCTTTGTGATTGCAAACAGATGAGGGTAGAACATGCAATTAAACTACAGCAAGTAAATTCCAATCAGTAGTGGCCTGCAGCAGCATCTCAGTGTTCACATCAGAAAGAGGCCAACTCTTAGTATGAAGCTGTCAGCAGGAAAAGATAAATTAAAATTGATTTTTAGAAGCAAATTCACTAACCTTCATTGCACCCAGGAAAATCTGTAACATCTGTCATTGATTACCTACCAAGGCTGGGATTTTCAACCATCCACTGAATTTGGGCATTCAAAATCCGATATGCAACTTTGAATACACCAGTGCAAAATTGAATGAGTTCTTCCCATGGGAGAGAACAGCATTCCATAAAAGGGAGAAGTTCGTGCACCTCTCCATGTTCATCAAGCAATATTATTAAGAATATAATATTTTGGGGCTTTTGACAGGCTGAAAGAGCTGGGGCTCTTCATCCTGGAGAAGAGAAGGCTCCGGGGGGACCTTAGAGTGGCCCTCCAGTGCCTGAAGGGGACTTACAGGAAAGCTGGGGTGTGACTTTTTATAAGGGCATGTAGCAACAGGACAAGGAGAAATGGTTTTAATCTGGAAACAGGCCTTTAAAATTTGATGGTTCTGTACAACTGCAGCAGATTCTGCAGATTTACATCTTCCTGCCCAATCCTTACAGTCCTTCACAAAACAGAGATGGTAGATTCTCACATATATTAAGTTTTTCAGAAACGATCCCAGTAAAACCAGTGCTTAGTCGTAACAGTTATTCAGTCACCAACGGGCACAAAGTACAATAGTGTTAGTTTTCATCCTAGTGTAGGAACTGCTAAATAAATATGGTGTAAGTTTAAGAGTTACCTATCCTGGTCTCATTTCAGGGATCGCATTTCAAACCCAAGATCTTCCAAAAAAAAGATGGTGCCTCTCTGCAGACTGTGATGGTTCCAGGCAGTGCTACCACCACACTGCATCCCAGATGTCCCGGAATTGGTGGAGTGGTGCTGAGCCTCCTGGCACTCCAATGGGATGCAGGCTTGCCACCAGATCAGGTCAGCAGGCAGTACAAGAAGCTGGAGAAAAAGCACATAGCAATGTGAGGTACACCAAGCTTAACCAGGTAAAGGGCAGAGCAAATATGAGCATATCATTCTGGCTAAAAGCTTTTACATAGAAATAAAAATTGTTCTAGATGTGGAAAAGTTGGCAATCTTTATTCTAAAGTTAATGAGGAAGCCTGGCGTGCATGTGTGTCTATCTGTATGTACGTAGCTGAGTTCAAAACCAGGCATTTAGCAAAAAAGCCTGGTCATCAGCTCTTGATCGCTTCACACAGGCAATAAAATGCATCTCCCACATTTCCAAGCACTTCTTTCTGTCCTTTGAATGCATTCAATCCTAAGAAACGGTTCTGAACATCTCTTCTAACAACTGTTTCTCCAACTGCTTCAAATCAAAGCTACATGATTGATTGTAAAGTAAGACATCCTCATTTAAATTACTTCCAATTTTCTATTTTTCTCTGAAAACCAAGTCCAGGCCACTGGTACAGTTGAGTGATGGACAAAAACTTTCCAAAACCAGCTAATATAATGTAATGAAAGTCATTTTGTAACACAGAAAAAATATGAGTACAGTTATACAAGTATTCCTGTTCCAAGAACCATTGTAAGTGGGTTTTGTTTTGATTTTGAAAAATCTCCAGTATCCCAGAGTAGCTGAGTAGACCACACACTGGAAAATGACATGTTTTTCTGGTCACTCTGTAATAAAAAGCATTTTTCTCTGAGAGACAGAAAAGGCCTTTTCAAGGTTGGAGAGGGAGTGCAATTGCAAGAATGAAATATCAGGAGTGAGGGTTACAGTTACAGTTGTATGAGGATAATTTGGTCTGGTTGTCTGAACAGCTGTCAGGGAATTATGAACAGCTTCTACTTTATCATCTGGACGCACAAGACTTTAGGGCTAAAAGCAAAATCAAAGAGCAGTTTAGTGGTACCCACTGGTTCAGGTGACTCTGGGCTGCTGAGAGGTTTTGCAACGTGAAGTGTAGCACAGAAGAAAATCAACTACGAGAGTAAGGATCGACTGGGTTCAGATAGAGGGGTTTTTGCAAAGCTTGGTGTGATCTGGTTACACAGTAGGTCTGCAGCCAGATAATACATAACTACCTGCATCATTAAAAGGTGAGACCTCGCTCCAGGCTGCAGGCAATAAACTGCAGATAAGCCTGAGCTGAGCGTCAGCCGTGACTTTCTGGTGGCTTCACAACACCCTGTGGTAAGCCAATTGCATAACCTGCTTTCCAGGTTATTTTACTGCAGTCATAGGGCAATTTTGGACAGCCTCCACCGAGTACATTTTTTTTAACATTCTTTTTACTCACCAATAAAACAAAATAAAACATTTTATAGCCTTGATGTGTTTCTGGCACATTTTAAAACTGCTGCTAATAAAAGTTTTCCAAGATGAAACAAGGAAAAAATGACCACGCTGTAGCAATATAAATATCTCATGACTTTTTTTTTTTTTTTTTTAAGTTGGGCTTTAATTCAGGAAGCTGGGAGAGAGCATCACAGAGTAAGATTGTGGTAAGAGAAAACTCATGTAAGCCCAGCTCACAAAGTGGAATAGGACTATGTTCGTAGCAGCCACTACTAAATGTAGTTTGAAAGAATCATAGTTTCATGCACATTAAAGGCTTGCTCTTCTGACCACTGAAGGTGGTGACAATTTGCCAAGTGACTTCAGTGACACGTGAGCACACCCTAAAGAAGCAAACTGCCATGTATGAACTGCGCTGTGCAGGGAGGCAGCAGACTGGGCTCAGCTCTGCTAGCTCTCCTAGCTCTGATAGATGCTCCCTGGGTGATTTCTGCCCAATCTCCCTCAGGGCCTCCTCACCTGTTAAGAGGGGTGATCTGTCTCTGTCAGATCTCAGAACTGTAACTATCTGTCTCCTGGCACGCCAGAGTCTTAATTTTTGGCATGGCTTTATGTGTAAATGTGATATAACAAGAAATGAATAATGCACAGCATTAATAAGCCTAACTCCAGCATCACACAATGCTGCAATGACTTGTACACACTGCCCTGCCCACCTTCTGCAGGAGAGAACGCCTGCCAAATGCATGGCAAGTACTGAAGGTGCCTAAAGCACCAAGCTCTCCTGCAGCAGGCTGACTTATACACACAGTGCTGCTCCTCATGAGCACTGTCACTCCCAGAGCACGTTAGCTGGCTGGTTTTCAAGCAACACCTTGAGCATGGTCCATCCTGACCAGAAACAAGTGTATCAAGTGACCTGCATGGATGAACAAGGGGCTCCTGACAAAATGCCCCCTGCGGTTCACATGTGCTTTTCACTTCTGCCATCGGAGGCAGTGTAACATCTGCAATGGTATGTATTACTTATTCCAGGCTACCAGAAAATGCTTTCAAAGTTGATTCTCATTCGTGAAACTGACCACCAGAGGGCGCCAGTACTGCTTAAAAAGCGCAAACCAAAGCGAATGAATCGGTTTTCGCTCAGCCTGTATGGCTTCAAAGGCCTCGAGAAGGTTCCAGGTCATGAGTCACCCTCGCACAGAAAGCCCCAGGGTCGGGCAGCTGCATGGATGCTGCAGCAGGAAAAAATCACCCAACTCCTGAGAGTGGCTTCCTTTACACATCACTTTTCTTACAGAACCCAGTAAAGGCTCACACATCCCGTGTTAATGCTGCTTTCTAGGTATGAAAGCATTTCCCAGGTGGCTAAGTAAGGAAAAGGAGGCACAGAAGCCTGATTTACTCGCTGACACATAGCAACAGAGGACAATCATTGAGGAGCACAGTGTAATCACTGCTGGACTAAAACCACAAACAGAACTGACTGGCAGAGCTGTGTTTTAGCAAAAGTGAAGGTGCATCAATTACTTTCTCATATGTGAAGTTAGTATGAAAGACTGGTGGGCAGCCAAACGTTTAAGTTGTAACTCAAATCTTTTCACCTCCAGGGTTTTTATGGAGAGCTGGAAGTTCTGCATACCAGACTGAAGGGTGCTGGGACAAAGATGGGAAAGGACCAAGGATCTGGGATGCTTTTACTCACGTGAAAGGGAAAGTGTTCAGAGATGAAGCAGGAGACAGCATGTGATGCTACCACAAAGTGAAGGTATCACCAAGGGGGAACTGTCCCTCTAGAAACATTCTAGAGCTATTTCATGTGTCATCTACTCCTACTTTACTATTGAAGATATGGATATTTGTGCTATTATTATTTTTTCTTCTTCAAGATTTCCTACATTCAGAGCTATTTAAGACAGACGAATAACTGAAGAGTTATTCTGTCTGGATATGAGATACACTAATTTCATAGGATGACATTCAGTTACTGAAGAAGCTTGAAGTTAATCACTATCTGCTCTCTGTCTCATGGGCTTGGATTATGCCCACTGGCATCAGAAGCAAGCACAGCTTTGCCGTATTCTTACTGGTTAACAGACAGTTCACCTCAGAGAAAGCCACGTCTGTTTAGCATTACTGTCATACAGATTTGCTTCTCTGCCTGCAGAACAGAGTCTAACAACTACACATGCATTACGGCGTACCCATTACTGCAGTGTAGTTCTCCAGATAAAATTTTCATATTTCTGTTTTCGGTTATTTGGAAAACAGCCCAGGTAATTCCTTCTCTGTGTGTTCAATCAGCAGAACAATGGAATGAGAAAGGAATACAGTGCTGCAATGACACCATTAACAGCCTTCTGGAGAGCAGTATTATCCCCACTGTGAGCCTCTACCACTGCCATCTGCCACAGGCCAGAAAAACTGGTCAAATGTCTCAAGTAAATGTTTCTGATAGGACGTGTTCCCACATCTAAGGACTACATCACATTACAAAAATGTTTAAAGACGCCTGCATGCTTTTAATGCGTGCTTATAATCATTTTCTATTCACTTGCTTTTAAAATACATTGCTGTATTACTTAATTTCAGCAGCTCCAGAGATAAAACGTCTTTGTTAGTAAGAAAACGAACTTCAGATAACACCATTGATTCTTTATATTCTTATTTTTGAAGGTTCTCCAAGAAAAGTATGATGGCTGGCAAAATACAAGAACGATCAATTATTTCTAATGATTATGCCAATCTATGCTTTGAGAAGTTTGAGATTGTGTGAAACATGGGATTACTTTTAGTAATCTGTGGGTAAGTTATCAATGCTCTCCTTACTGCAGTTGCATGGTTCTGCTCACAAAACTCTACAGAAGGGACACCACAGGAAAGTACATTGAGAATTGCAGGTAAAATTATAGGTGAATAGACAGATAGATACAGTTCTGTGCAGTCAATGACTGTGCCCCAAAATCTCAGTGGCCAGTTCCAGCCAAGACACTATTTCAGGACACATGAAATTCCAGTGAAGTTTTGAAAAACCATCAGCTGGAGGAGAGATAGGCACAAAAGCCAGAAAGGCAGTCAAAATGCAAGAAGGACATTACATGGTGGAACAGCACCAGCAGGTCAGTTTGCTATGGCTGGTCAGCAACACACTGCTTCCAACAAGCTACAGCCAAGCAGCATGAAAGCAGCCAGAAGCCAAGGGGAGGAGAAAGAAAAAGGGGCCTGGAGAGGACAGAGAGATTAAGAGACAAATCCTGCATGGACTCAATCCATATTAGGATTTAGGATATTAGCAAACTTGTTAGCTCTGCTTTTCAAATAACTATTCTGTGTACATCTACACAGTTCCTGAAAAAGGTTACAAAACAGGAGAACATGCACCAGGACTGAAGCTTGGTGGAAGTGGAGCATAGAATGCAGCACACCATGTAACTAAAGTAAAATTTAAATTGAATTTTAAATTGTGTGAAGTGAGAATTTCTAGCAGACTGATTAAGCTTTTCGTCCTGCTCTTTAAACAGAAACACAGCTTTGTAACCATGTCAGTTCCATCTGGCACATCAAATGTATTCAGTAGCTGAGGCAAACTGATTTC